TCCTTCCTTCCTTCCTTCCTTCCTTCCTTCCTTCCTTCCTTCCTTCCTTCCTTCCTTCCTTCATTCACTCTCTGTGTGTGCATGCACACATATGTCTTGCCACATGTAGAGGTCCAAAGGCAACTGGAAAGAGTTGGTTCTTTCCTTACACCATGCATGTATGAGAAACTAAAATCGGGTCATCAGTTTTTACAGAAAGGGCCTTTTCTACACTGAGTCATCTCACCAGCATCATGCCTTAGGTTTTTGTGTATTTTTTCTTTTATTTTGTTTTTGGTTTTGGTGTTTGAGACAAGGTCTCTCTACTTATTTCTGGCCATCCTAGAACTCTCTATATAGATGAGGCTGGCCTTGAACTCACAAAGATCTGCCTGCCTCTGCCTTCCAAGTGCTGGGATGAAAGGCATGTGCCACAACGCCAAGCTAATACCTTAGATTTTAATAAAATATATTGCCACTATTTGGCAGAATCCATCTGAGAAGAATTTGCATTGCGTTTCCCCTCCTCTTAGGTAATTCCAGCAGTCCTATGGAAAGAGAAAACCAAACAGGAGGCAGAAACTTCCTCCTCCTGGGATTCACAGAAGACGCTGACCTGCAGCCCTTCTTCTTTGGGTTGCTTCTTTCTATGTACCTGGTCACCATCACAGGCAACTTGCTCATCATCATGGCCATCATATCAGACCTCCGCTTGCACAGGCCCCTGTACTTCTTCCTCTCCAACCTGTCCTTGGCTGACATCGGCTTTACTTCCACCACCATCCCAAAGACTCTGCTGAATATCCACACACAAAGCAAACTCATCCCCTTCCCAGGCTGCCTCACACAGATATTTTTTTTCATTGTGTTTGGATGCCTGGACAATTTAATCCTAACAGTGATGGCCTATGACCGCTTTGTGGCCATCTGCCATCCCCTTCACTACGTAGTCATCATGAATTCTTGCTTCTGTGTGATGCTGGCTCTTGGGTCCTGGTTGATCAGTGTCATGAGTTCCCTGTCTGAGACCTTGACTGTGTTAAGGCTATCCTTCTGTACAAACATGGAAATCCCCCTCTTTTTCTGTGATCTTCCTCAAGTCCTGAAGCTCGCCTGTTCTGACACCCTTGTCAATACCATTGTGATATATTCTATAACTATAGTCATAGCTGGTTTCCCTTTCTCTGGGATTCTACTGTCTTATTCTCGGATTTTCTCCACCATCCTAAGAATTTCCTCAGCTAAGGGCAAATACAAAGCCTTTTCCACCTGTGGGTCTCACCTTTTGGTGGTCCTTTTGTTCTACAGCAATGGTCTTGGGGTCTACCTTAGCTCTGCAGCAACATCTTCTTCTAGAATGAGTATAATTGCCTCATTGATGTACACCGTGGTCACTCCCATGCTGAACCCCTTCATCTACAGCCTGAGGAACAAGGACATGCAGAAGGCCTTGGGAAAGCTTCTCAGGAAAACGATGCAGCTTGGTGAAGGGACCCCAGCAGGACCCCTATAAGGAGCAGGTCAGTGAAATCAGAAAGCTTATGCTCCATCATCTAATGTACCAACTACATTTTTCCAGAGATAAGATTTGTAACTTTTTAAAATTTATTCTTTGAGAATTTCATGCGTACAGCACAAAGAGTCTTTCTCAGTTTCTCTTCACCTTATTTTTTGAGACATGGTTTCTCATTGCACCTGGATCTTCCTAATTTGTCTAGACTGCATGGCTAGCCATCCCAGAGGCCCTTCTGTTTCTGTCTTCCCAGAGCTGAGGTTGTGGATATGTGTCCATGCACCCAACTTTTTCATGAATTCTGGTACATTGATCTCACCTCCTCATGCTCTGTGGCAAGAACTTTATAGGTTGAGCCACTTCAAAGTCCTAGGAGAGCAAATGTACTAGTAATGGAATAGAAGGAGGAGTAAAATTCCATATTAAAGGCACAGAAAATATATTCAATAAAATCGTAACAGAAATGTTGCCAAACCTAGGTAAATAAGGGTCCATCCATATACAGGAGGCATTCTGAATGCTGAACATACAAGATTAGAAAGCCATTGGGCTACATAAAAACACTACATAGGACACAAAGAAGAAAGAAAAAAAGAAATAGTATTGAAAGCACTGAGTAGTGGCTATAATACTTGAGTACACGGACTTCCTGAGAGCCGTGGTGGGACTTACCCTTCCAGTAATATTACTGCAGGGGAAAAAAATCATTCAAGAAGAATTCACTGAGCCTGTTGTTCTTGTTTTCTGGAAGTTTGTAAACAACTCTTGAGTTGGGTATAATTTCTAACTATATTCTAAATATTTGTTCTTATACTCACAGATAACTCTAGTTCCCAACCCTCGTCAAGGAAACTTCTTTTTTCAGCAAGCAGGGACCATTGTCGAAAACCACAACCCATCAAAATGCAAAGGTGAGGAGAGCAGTCCCAAATAATACATCTAAAAGGTCACTCCTGCGTGGAAGGCTCGGGGATCGTTGGGGAAAGCTGGGCAGAAAGACTGCAAGAACCAGAGGATCAGGGAGTTTTCTCTAAGATTGTGCCTCCTAAAAATGTCAGCAAAGCTACAACCATGAAGCCTCACCAACATGGCTGCCCAAACATGACCTAAATGATGATGACGTGCTAATGCGGAAGTCGGGAGAGCTCACCAAGCCTCAACCGCAGACAGAGAACTACAAGCGACGAAAGAACGCTGAGGAGGCGAAACAGTCTTTCACAGGAAAGGTTGTCTAATCCCAAGTGGTCAGCGCTAAAAGCATATATACAAGAAATACATTGACTGAGCAGGCTGTACTTATATATTGAGGACTGTGTGTGTGTGTGTGTGTGTGTGTGTGTGTGTGTGTGTGTGTGTGTTGCTAGATGGGGTTTGATCAAGCAGACATGAAAACATAAGAAAAAGAAGATCATCCGCCACAAAAGTAGACTGTCCTCTCCTAGCAAACTGTTTCCCGAAGGAGAAGAGACCATGCGTGATGCCCAGGGGCCTGGAGATTTTTCAGGGCAGAAGACGGAACCTTCGAGTGGAAGATTCTTCGTCCCAGCTGTAGATCAGGTCCCTTTCAGTCTCAAAGGTGTCAGTTTGTCTGTCGGTATGTTGACTTTCTTGCCAAGAGTCTACAGATGTTATCACATGTCAACTTTCCTGTCTGGAAAGCCTCAACTGACCTGAGGCTTTCGGGACATTAATTTTCCATGTATAACAATAATTAAAGAAAAAGAGGCCATGAATTTTAGAGAGAGAGAGTAAAAGAGAGTGGGTACTTGGAAGGATTTAGAGGAAAAAAGGGAAGGGGAAATGATGTAATTATTATCTGAATGCATATAATTTAAAATCAAGATTATTTATAGTTATGGATGACTCATAAACTGACACTCTAATGTACTGTGCTACTCAGCATGTAGGCATGTATTTTCTGAATTAGCAAATTCTGTAGCAACCAATTTCACAGACAGCAATAAAAATTATGTTTAATAATAAAAACATAATGTTGTGAAGTGGGTGTGTGCCTGACCCCTCTTCCTCACAATCCTTGAAGATAAATTGAAACTCTGCTACCCAGAGAGGGAAGACTTCTGGAAACTCCACCACTGGAGCTCCTGCTGTGCAGCTGGGAAGGATGAGGCAGAGCTCCAGGAGCAAACCTTGAGTTCCAAGCAGTGCAATGTAATGAGGAGCACATTTTCACACACACACACACACACACACACACACACACACACACACACACAC